TAGGGCCGGACGGAAGGATGCTCCTTGCCATCGATTGTTGCCGTCTCACTGCACTTGCTGGAACACCTTCGTGAATTGGGGAATTTTGCAGGGTTTTCGCACAGACATCCTACAAGACCCGTGACGTCCGGGAGGGTGTTTTACGCCACTCCATTTTGCGGCTCGCAAAATGGCACCTTGGGATATGGGTATGGGTCAAACATGGGTCCCCAAAATTTGCTTGCCCTGGTAAATCGGTTGCCAAGGACTAAACCAGCAGTCCGTTTCCTGGTGGTTTAATTTTGACCAATACCTATATGGAACAAAGACAAAAACCTCCGGTTTGCCACCCAGCGATGGGACATTTTGAGCCACAGCCACCAGTGGGGCCGAAATGACCTCAGACTGTAGGCACCACACAAGAACATGTGCATGTAGATAATATTTTCAATATGTGTTCGTATGTATCCATGCATACATATATATATATATATATTTATTATATTATATATATATATTATATTGCGGATATATACGCATTTCTATTTGAAGACTTCCGTTTGTATGGTCTGCTCTTTAGGGAATGTTGCTTCATTCCCTTGGTTTGGCTCTTCAGCCCCAAGCCTCCGTGCTCTTCCTGGCCTCGCACAAGACAGGGACATTACACTCCAGACGATGCCCGTCCTGTCTACTTGATCAATTCACAGCGGACGCTGTATCATCCAAGCTTTTGGTAATGCATTTTCCTTAAAGCACTGATGATGCTGGGGGGTGTCGACCACTTTATCTACAAACTATCAAGACATGTACTTTTAGTAAGCGGAAAACCATTTCCTTCTCAACACCGGTGATGCTGGAGTGTCGACTGTTAGCAAGCGGAAACGTATTTTGGGTGATGCTGGGGGTGTCGACCACTTGTTCTCACGGATTCGTCCAAAGCAGACCGAGTGATGTCGGGCTGCTTGAACCATGCAGTTTTGTAAATTGCTTTGCAGAGAACGTTGATGCCGCCGAGCGACTCTCATAAGTCCAGTTTGGAAAACCGGACATTTACTTCTAGAAAGCGGAAAAGGAATTCCTTCACTAGAACACTGGTGATGCTGGGGGTGTCGGCCACATTGTCTACAAACATCGACTTGTAGTATATAAGGGCAAAGGCATTTTCTTTACCAAACACTGGTGATGGTAAGGGTGTCGACGTCCACCACTTTCTCCGCAAGCTATCGCGACATCTACTTTTAGTAGGCGGAAAGACATGTTCTTAATAATGCTGATAATAATAATTGTAAGAATGATAAGAGTATCAACACTTGTGATACCGCGTGTGTCGACCACTTTAGCTACCCGGTTTCGCGAATTTTGTAAAACATGTAAGCTGAAAGCATTACCGAAGCTGGCTCTCCCTGTCCGTTTGGGGGTGCCGACCACTTTGTCGACCGGCCTATTCGGCGAACGAGCCTCTTTCGGTTGGCGGCCTGTCGCCAGCGTCAGCTGAGGGCCTGTGCGCTATCAAATTCTGGAACTCGATTTCTCAGCCAACCGTTCGGGCGGCCTTTGCGCCTAGAATTTTTTGGGGACTTTATGCTGGCCTGCCCCTGCGCCCCACAGCAAGACCCCGACGCCCGAACTTAAAGACCTAAGCCGCCTTGATTCAATCCATGGATAAACAATGGCTACGTGATGAAGCGTTTGCTATTCACCCATGTAGCTATTGCTGTTTACGTACCAAACTTCTGTACCGCACCTGGGCGGGCTCACCTCAGTATATATATATATATATAATTATATATATATATATACATACCTATGGGCGGATGAACACCCATGTACCACCTATTTTGTGTTCACCAGGATTACAGGGTTTTGACCATCTATGTATCAAACCGCTTCAGAAAGCCTCTACATCTGGTGCCAACCATGGGACCAGCTGGGAGTCTTGGGGGTCTCGCAGGCGCCCGTTGAGGAGGACCCAGAGGAGAGGAAGCGGAGGCGTGCTGCCGGGGGTGTCTGTGTGTGTTGCATTTTTTTCAGTTTCTGACAGATGGAGGGCACATGACTCTATATAACCAATTTTTTGTAGATGCACTACCATGTCCTGCTTGCATAGAAAAGCTGATAGGTGAGTGCGGAGGATGCGAGTGCAACACTAGCGGTACAAACAGAATGAAGCAGCGGCACATGCTTTGTAGGGCTATTGCAATATATATATATGGTATATATATATATATGTGTGCGCTGAACGTGCAGCTTTAAACAAATCTTATGGTACAGCTTTCATGCAAAGATCCCAGGCTGGTCTTCACCTAGAAAGTCCATGCTATGTCAATGAACTAAGCCAACGCTAGACAAAAGACATATGTGTGAAAGGCTCCCTTTCATCGCACATGCTGGCGATGATCCAGCCAAAACATGCAATGCATCGTCGCAAGCGTGTAAGAAATACGCTCTTGCCATAAAGAATGAAGCAGTCGGATGGTGACTTACACATATTGCGCATCATGCTGCTTGGTGCTAGTTGTACTTGCAGAGATATTACAGGGAGCACGATTGTTGTAGCAACACTGCTTTTCTCAACCACATGCTTCTGATCCGGCATCAGCACGAGCACAAGAGCTTGCCTCCATGCAGCCCTGCAAATGCTCAAGCAGCACATGCTAGCGAAGCGTATGGGCTATTAAGATGTGTAGCTCATCAACGCAAATCTGTTCCAAGCAACTGAATGACATGCAACGTTGAGGATAAGGCTGAGCAAACTTTTGAGGCCTGCAGCTTTGCCAATAGGGGGGCCGGCCCTCAATGAGCTCAGGGAAGGGGAGGGGGCTGGAGGGGGTCCGAGCAAACGGCTGCCTTTTTGTCCTCCAACCCAGACCTCGCCCCGAACCCGTCCCATCCAGTGAAAGCGACTCAAGAGCAAATGCAGTCAACAGTTGGGTCCCACATTCTTTTAGCTCTGCATCACATATCCGGAATTCAATGGTTGTTTATGCGCATTGACCAATAGGGGACTGTATTACCCGTCCTTCTTTGTAGCAAGGGAGACCAAAAGAAGGCCGTTTTAAATTTTAAGGAGTAGTTGTTCAGGCATGTTTGAAGACACTTGCTCAACCTTGTGTGGGGAACCCATGAATGTCAGGAGATTTGCCAACACCGAGACTTGTACGAAGGATGCCAAGCGTAACTTGGGATCTGCCAGAGACCAACATGGAAGTGGATTGCACGTGCTCAAAGGGGCCCCTGTGCACTTCCATATTTGAAGGGTTTTCGAGCGGAGGTCTAAGCAAGCAGAAAGGGGGTTGTGGGGTACATCAAGACTAACTTGAGTCATCATGGGAGACACATCCGCGTATGTTTTTGGGCCCCTTGGACTGCCCATTTGTTTGGCCTGCTGCGCTGTTTGGTGTATTTTGCTTTTTGTGGGGCCAGGAAGAAGGAGAAGAAGGAGAAGAAGAAGGCAGATTGCGACTTTCGTCGCGGAGGTTTCACCTGAAAATGGGATGGGTGATGCTTTACACTCCAGTTGGGTTTTTGGGGGAATTGTACTGCTTGGGAAGCATGTTTGATGACACTTCAAGCACATGGAATGTTTCAGGTGAAAGCTGGGCCAGATTGTCCACTTAGTGTTGCCTCCCAGCTCCTCAAAATGAGCAGCAGCAGCCCGGTTTGATCCCAAAGGCAGCCAATGTTTGTTTTTCTAGCCTCCTTTCCAGGATTCAACACAAGGTGTCAGGCTGCCTTATGGGCTCGCAAAGTCTGTTCTTGAATGTATGTGGTGTAGCTGTCCCTTTTGGCAACTCAAATATGTTTCTTTTCGGTTGCAACGTTTAAAGTGAAATAGCAGCGCTTAGAATCCCGTGTTGGAGCCAAGGCTTTCTCATCGGGCATACCTTGTAGTTGGTTTGCTTATGACGTACCATCCACCTGCGCTTCCTTTGGCAAACGAGTATCTCATGTTAGGTCGGCTGCAATACCCAGACTTGAGCAGACCCTAACGGGTAAGCTTTGAATACAGAAAACTTGGTGCTACTTGGCCCTCTTCGGGTGCTGCGAGTCCCTGAGTCCTTCACTTCGTGCCTTCGCCGCCGGTGCGTGAGGCCAAGGACAAGTGAGAGGCGAAGTTCCAGTTCGGGGTGCGAGCCAGTTGTGGAAGCAATGGGCAAGAGCTTTCCGTGAGAGCCCAACGGAAGCCGGGACACGTTGGATTGCTTCCGCAACCGGGGGAGCATCCGGTGAGGTCGAAGCTTCGGCTCTTCGCCCTTAGGCTTGGAGATATTCCTGGCGCCGCCCCCGGCATCTGCGTTCAAATGATGGTTTTTGTGTTCACCACTGGCAGGGTAGATGTGAGAGTTCCGTTTTTGTGTGTTCCCAGATGTATTGGGGACCTCGGCCCTTGGGCGCACATTGCGAAGGATAGGAGCGTGGTCGCTGCTCAGGGTGTGCCTCGTATGACGCAGCTGCGGTCGAAAATGCCGCGTGCCGGCGCGCTAAGCGTAATCAGAGACAGGCGGATTGGACTTGCCAACCCTTCCTTCGGAATCGAAGTGTGACCCTTGCGCCGGGCTTCCTTTCAACCTCGTCACTTGTCGCCCTTTACCCTTTTCATCTACCTTCTTTCCCAACCCTCTCACTATGTTTTTGGATTCCCTTCCAAGCAAGCCTGGGTTTTGGTTGGGATCTGGCTGACTTGCTGCCACATGCGGATGAAAGAGGACTAGGGGTCATCGCCTGTGACCTTCGCTGTCTCTGGCTCCCTCCGTCTGCATGCTAGTCAGGGCCAAGGGTATGACGCTGCCAACGATGCGTGGTGTTTTGGGTTTGTTTGGAGATTGGTTTCTGAATGCTTGTGACCAGGGTGGTTTTTCCTTGGAAGTGAAGTGATGCGGCCAAGTTTGGACCATCCACTGGCCGAAGCACGAGAAACCCAATCATGTTGTTGCACCGCAGTTTTGTATTACATTTCAATTGAGTACAGCACATTTGGTTGTGGTTTGGACATTGTCTTGCAACTAGCCTGCTACTTCTGCGGGGTGCTTTTCTGCGGTGCGGGGAGCATAATATTGCTTTGCCATTGGCGCTATCCGATATCTGCAGCGTCATGTTGCAAATGACAATGCGAGGCGAGGCGAGGGTTGGGGGCGGGAACAGCGGCAGTTTATGTCCGTTTATGACGGGGGCAATGTGGGAAAACTCACCTCATCAAGCACAAGATGACCTTTGGGGAAGGGACGTTTGCGTCCTTGGCACATTCCGCAGATTCAAGCCGCATGGAACCTGCAAGAAGGTGTCTGTATTTCTAAGCACGGGATCTCCCAAAAATGGGATCCGACCCCTTTCTTGGCTCCTCCTTTGCATATAGATTTCTGCGCAGCTGGATTGGAAGCCGCAAAAAAGGAGATACAGCGGGATGTCATACTCGGGGTTCTCTTTAAGGTCGATTTCGCGTTGGCTCCCTCTCTCTCTCTCTCTATCTCTTTTTCAGCCGGTACTTCTATCCTGCGTTTTGGCACGGTACGGCTTCGCGCGGATATTCAGACCGTTGCCGCAGATCTTCCGGTTCCTCCTGTCAGGTAGCGGCGCAGGTGCAGTGCCAGGGATCCCTTCATCACGGGCCATTGCATTGGATTCCCCAATAAATCCATGAACACAGTCTAGAATTTACAATCAATCTGAACTAATTTGCTTGCAATAGTTCAGCTTCAGCGTAAGTAGCACCCGCAAAATTAGCTGCTTTTCTCACCCAGGCAGTTGCTGTTACCAAGCCCGACCCTTTGTCGAATTGCCCATGGACCTGTCCGGCGGTACTTTTGTACCATTCCAGGGGGTATTTTATCAATGGATGGCCAACAGAAGAATGGGGGCATTTTGTACGTGCGTGTTTTCTCAGAAGAATGAGTGAACATTTACGGGGATCACTTTGCGTCCATATGGAAACGGGCCATCAACCGAAGGATTAGAAGGAAAGCAACGGGAGTTTTTGTTTTCCTTCCACCTTCGGACATCTTGTAGAACTCAAGTACACCTCAAAATGGGTTTGTCTTCTTTAATCGGGACCACGTTGGTTCCCTTTAAACCAACAACCCCGAGAACGGTTCCCTCCAAACAGACGAGCTCCTCATTTGGTGCAGCTCGTTTTGGCGCACGTGACCCGCAGGGCGGCGCCTTCGCTTTCTGCCCGTGGTGGCTTGCATAAGCCTGCAAGGGATGGATGTGCGTGGCTCACGTCTTCTTTTTGGGGTTCATTGGCACCTCGTTTCCGGTCTGCTTTAGTACATTGGACACCCTTGGACCATCGGGAGTGCCAAGCCATTCTGAGCGAATGCCATTCTTGGCGGGGATGTTTTGTGGCACGTTGGCTGCATTGAATCTCCTGGGCAGCTTGCTCCGATCGGTTTCTCGCCCCAAATTGTCAGATCATTTTGATGAGCAAAGGAGCTTACAATTTCTGCGCGGGATCGAGGTTTCCGGACATACTATTCGGGCTTTGGTTTTGTTATCCTTTTCATGGCCAGCAGAGGTGCTACCTGGCAGGACAGGGTCGTTTGGTGAAGCCCCAAAACCGAGCAGATTCTGTGGGACAGCCCTCCGTTCATCAATCCGTGCTTGATTTTCTGAGCTATCATTCCCTGAGGGTCTGGTGGTCTTAACTTCGCTGCTGGATTCTCGAAGCGCTCGGGCACCTCCCTGGTCAGAAGATTTTTGTGCCTGTGCAGAGTTGCAGACAGCCTTCGGGTGCGTTTGCACATCGGAGCAGGAACCCGTTTGGAGGCACCTGTATTGCCTGCTCCGACTCCCGACCCCCCTTTGGCTCTGAAAATGCAACTAAACAAAACTCACCAGCAGAGAAACCATCCTCATCGTTATCTTGTGGTCGTCGTCCTCGTCGTCCTCGTCCTCGGCCTCCTCGTCCTCCTCGTTCTCATCACTCATCGTCGTCGCTGTTGCCGCCGTCACTGTCCCCGTCGCCATGATCCTCATCCTCATCCTCATCTCATCGTCATGGTCATCGTTCTTGTTGTCTTTGTCCTCTTCCTCCTCCTCGTCCTCATCTTCTCGCCGTCGTTCTCGTCACAGTCGTCATCATCCTCATCTTTTTCCTCATCAAGTGACGCACACCGAAAACCGGTTGGCCCCGTGAGTGGCTGACCGAGGCGCTGGCCTTGGCCGGGTCCTTAGCCTTCGCCCAGGCGGAGTTGCCCTGGAACCGGTCTGAGGCGGGGCGGGGGGTGGGGCGGTGCGAGTTGATGCGAGTGCTAGATGGTGATGTGTCATGATGATGATGATGATGATGATGATGATGATGATGATGATGACATGATGCTAGTGGTGCTAGTGGTGCTAGTGGTGCTGGCGATGCGAGTTTTTCTGGTGATGCTGGTGATGCTAGTGATGCTGGTGATGCTGGTGATGCTGGTGATGCTGGTGATGCTGGTGATGCTGGTGATGCTGGTGATGCTGGTGATGTTGGACTATTCCATGTTAGAAGTCACCCTTTTGATTGAGAGGGCGAGTCTTGAGTCTTGCCAGGGAGCTGAGGCACGCAGCTGGCAGGCGCCGGATGCTTGGGCTGTCGAAGGGCTTTCGAGCAGAATGGGCGTAAAAGTGGGGAGCTGCGACGCACTGGCGGCTTTTGGCAGGAACCCTGTTGCTTTTCACCTAAAGAACTGACGATGAGCTGAGGTAAATTGGCTTTGTTGCGGACTCCGCAGCAAGGCTTGGAGTTGCGGTATCAGAAAAACTTAAACAACAGAGGTTGGGCAACATGAACATGGGTCACATGGCATTAGTGCTGCTGTATTTTTTGTTGCAAGCATCGTAAACACCGGCTTTTGCAATGTGTTGAGGAGAGTCGAATGAGGTGAGGTTTCAAGGGAGGCCGGGAATGTTGTCATGATGGAGTATGGTGAATGGGCTGATTCACCTTCAGGACAGCTTGGTCGGTATGGTCTGACAGGTGTAGCCTGGGTTCCTGTTACTTGCTCCGAGGATGGACCGCTTGCAAAAGCTGAGTGTTTGATGAGCTGTCATTTGACATGCTCGCGGACACGAAGAGGGCAATCAGAAAGGATTATGAGAGCTGAGGTGCATTCCAAGAGCAGATGACGATGCCAAGCGTGAATGTTGTTATGATGATGGGAGTATGGCGAATGGGCTGATTGATTTGCATGATGGTTGGGTTGATGTTGTTTGACAGGTGTAGCCTGAGTTGCCAGTTGCTCCGAGGATGGACTGCTTGCGCAAAAGCTGAGTGTTTGATGAGCTGTCATTTCACATGCTCGCAGACACGAAGAGGGCAATCAGAAAGGATTATGAGAGCTGAGGTGCATTCCACGTGCAGATGGCGATGCCAAGCGTAAATGTTGTTATGATGATGGGAGTATGGCGAATGGGCTGATTGATTTGCATGATGGTTGGGTTGATGTTGTTTGACAGGTGTAGCCTGAGTTGCCAGTTGCTCCGAGGATGGACCGCTTGCGCAAAAGCTGAGTGTTTGATGAGCTGTCATTTGACATGCTCGCAGACACGAAGAGGGCAATCAGAAAGGATTATGAGAGCTGAGGTGCGTTCAAAGTGCAGATGAAGATGCCAAGCGTAAATGTTGTTATGATGATAGGAGTATGGCGAATGGGCTGTTTGATTTGCATGATGGTTGGGTTGATGTTGTTTGACAGGTGTAGCCTGAGTTGCCAGTTGCTCCGAGGATGGACCGCTTGCGCAAAAGCTGAGTGTTTGATGAGCTGTCATTTGACATGCTCGCAGACACGAAGAGGGCAATCAGAAAGGATTATGAGAGCTGAGGTGCATTCCACGTGCAGATGGCGATGCCAAGCGTGAATGTTGTTATGATGATGGGAGTATGGCGAATGGGCTGATTGATTTGCATGATGTTTGGGTTGATGTTGTTTGACAGGTGTAGCCCGAGTTGCCAGTTGCTCCGAGGATGGACCGCTTGCGCAAAAGCTGAGTGTTTGATGAGCTGTCATTTGACATGCTCGCAGGCACGAAGAGGGCAATCAGAAAGGATTATGAGAGCTGAGGTGCATTCCAAGAGCAGATGACGATGCCGAGCGTGAATGTTGTCATGATGATGGGAGTATGGCGAATGGGCTGATTGATTTGCATGATGGTTGGGTTGATGTTGTTTGACAGGTGTAGCCTGAGTTGCCAGTTGCTCCGAGGATGGACCGCTTGCGCAAAAGCTGAGTGTTTGATGAGCTGTCATTTGACATGCTCGCAGACACGAAGAGGGCAATCAGAAAGGATTATGAGAGCTGAGGTGCATTCCACGTGCAGATGACGATGCCGAGCGTGAATGTTGTCATGATGATGGGAGTATGGCGAATGGGCTGATTGATTTGCATGATGTTTGGGTTGATGTTGTTTGACAGGTGTAGCCTGAGTTGCCAGTTGCTCCGAGGATGGACCGCTTGCGCAAAAGCTGAGTGTTTGATGAGCTGTCATTTGACATGCTCGCAGACACGAAGAGGGCAATCAGAAAGGATTATGAGAGCTGAGGTGCATTCCAAGTGCAGATGAAGATGCCAAGCGTAAATGTTGTTATGATGATAGGAGTATGGCGAATGGGCTGGTTGATTTGCATGATGTTTGGGTTGATGTTGTTTGACAGGTGTAGCCTGAGTTGCCAGTTGCTCCGAGGATGGACCGCTTGCGCAAAAGCTGAGTGTTTGATGAGCTGTCATTTGACATGCTCGCAGACACGAAGAGGGCAATCAGAAAGGATTATGAGAGCTGAGGTGCATTCCAAGAGCAGGTGAAGATGCCAAGCGTGAATGTTGTCATGATGACCGGAGTATTGCGAATGGGCTGATTGATTTGCATGATGTTTGGGTTGATGCTGTTTGACAGGTGTAGCCTGAGTTGCCAGTTGCTCCGAGGATGGACCGCTTGCGCAAAAGCTGAGTGTTTGATGAGCTGTCATTTGACATGCTCGCAGGCACGAAGAGGGCAATCAGAAAGGATTATGAGAGTTGAGGTGCATTCCAAGAGCAGATGAAGATGCCAAGCGTGAATGTTGTTATGATGATGGGAGTATGGCGAATGGGCTGATTGATTTGCATGATGTTTGGGTTGATGTTGTTTGACAGGTGTAGCCTGAGTTGCCAGTTGCTCCGAGGATGGACCGCTTGCGCAAAAGCTGAGTGTTTGATGAGCTGTCATTTGACATGCTCGCAGACACGAAGAGGGCAATCAGAAAGGATTATGAGAGCTGAGGTGCATTCCAAGAGCAGATGAAGATGCCAAGCGTGAATGTTGTTATGATGATGGGAGTATGGCGAATGGGCTGATTGATTTGCATGATGTTTGGGTTGATGTTGTTTGACAGGTGTAGCCTGAGTTGCCAGTTGCTCCGAGGATGGACCGCTTGCGCAAAAGCTGAGTGTTTGATGAGCTGTCATTTGACATGCTTCATTATGAGAGCTGAGGTGCATTTTGATGAGCTGTCATTTGACCTCGCAGACAAAAGCGATGAGATTTGACATGCTCGCAGAATCAGAAAGGATTATGAGAGCTGAGGTGCATTCCAAGAGCAGATGACGATGCCGAGCGTGAATGTTGTTATGATGATGGGAGTATGGCGAATGGGCTGATTGATTTGCATGATGGTTGGGTTGATGTTGTTTGACAGGTGTAGCCTGAGTTGCCAGTTGCTCCGAGGATGGACCGCTTGCGCAAAAGCTGAGTGTTTGATGAGCTGTCATTTGACATGCTCGCAGACACGAAGAGGGCAATCAGAAAGGATTATGAGAGCTGAGGTGCATTCCAAGAGCAGATGACGATGCCGAGCGTGAACGTTGTTATGATGATTGGAGTATGGCGAATGGGCTGATTGATTTGCATGATGGTTGGGTTGATGTTGTTTGACAGGTGTAGCCTGAGTTGCCAGTTGCTCCGAGGATGGACCGCTTGCGCAAAAGCTGAGTGTTTGATGAGCTGTCATTTGACATGCTCGCAGACACGAAGAGGGCAATCAGAAAGGATTATGAGAGCTGAGGTGCATTCCAAGTGCAGATGACGAGGCCAAGCGTGACTGTTGTTATGATTGGTGGGAGTATGGCGAATGGGCTGATTGATTTGCATAATGGCTTGGTTGTTGTTGTTTGACAGGTGTAGCCTGGGTTGCTGGTTGCTCCGAGGATGGATCGCTTGCGCAAAAGCTGAGTGTTTGATGAGCTGTCATTTGACATGCTCGCAGACACGAAGAGGGCAATCAGAAAGGATTATGAGAGCTGAGGTGCATTCCAAGAGCAGGTGAAGATGCCAAGCGTGAATGTTGTTATGATGATCGGAGTATGGCGAATGGCCTGATTGATTTGCATAATGGCTTGGTAGTTGTTGTTTGACAGGTGTAGCCTGGGTTGCTGGTTGCTCCGAGACATACTCGCAGACACGAAGAGGGCAATCAGAAAGGATTATGAGAGCTGAGGTGCGCTCCAAGTGCAGATGACGATGCCAAGCGTGAATGTTGTTATGATGATAGGAGTATGGCGAATGGGCTGATTGATTTGCATGATGGTTGGGTTGATGTTGTTTGACAGGTGTAGCCTGAGTTGCCAGTTGCTCCGAGGATGGACCGCTTGCGCAAAAGCTGAGTGTTTGATGCGCTGTCATTTGACATGCTCGCAGACACAAAGAGGGCAATCAGAAAGGATTATGAGAGCTGAGGTGCATTCCACGTGTATGTGAGTCAGGCCATGTATTCCTGAGTGCTCATAAGGCAAGTTGGGGCTCGCTGATTCGTGAGTTCAGCTCATCGGCAGCTCAGCGACCTGGACATAGGCGCCTTTCCACCAACACTCAACCAAAAAGGCCGAGAACCAGCGCTTGTGGCATTGGTCGTACCTAGGAAAACCCCTTCAAAGCAATTGCGTGTGTCTTTTTTGGGGGAACCCCCTTTTGGTTGGCCTTATTTTAAGACAAACCCATACGGTAGTCGTGGGAATCAACTACGTTGATCTTGCGCTTTGCGTCGTCCGAGCCAACCTGTGAAGCTCGGTTAACGGGTCGCATGTGCAAAGCAAAGTCAAAGCAGCGGTACATCGAAGAGGAAGTCAAAGGGAAGCTCACTTTTGTGGAGGGTAGCCCCCTATTTTGAAGCTCGCCTACTTTGAGAGCGCACCGTCGGACCCTTCGGACCTGTTGTCGGGTTGCACGTTGATTTGCGGGGGAGTAGTCTTTGGTCCGAAGCGCGTGCGGGTCATTCTGGTTTCGTGAAGTGGGAGACTTACACCGGCTTTCCCTTGGCTTTCCCTTCAAACCGAGTCAAATGGAGGTCTGACATCGGCTTGTGCAGGCGCTAGCTCCTTCCGTGGCCTGGCGCTTGAGCGAGATGGGGGTGTGGAATGGGGCCCTCTGAATTGGCGGATTCGGGTGGCTCGGGGATTTGAGCTCAGTTTCTGAATCCGATTGGGGCGAACTCCCTCAATTTCCAACAGCACTGGGCCCCAAGCTGCCATTCTTTGTGACGTGAAAGGACCAAGGGAAGCCACGCGCCAGCAAGCTAAAGTTTCTCATGGTTGGCGTACCGCCAAAATGACAACGGCGAGTGGAAAGTCGCATCAACCGTTTCTACTTGGCAGGTTGCCTATGCATATGGGGTTGCCGATATGGAGCTCAAGGGGCTCATTTGGGTTTGCAAACATGCGTTACGACTCGCCTTGGAGAAATGGTTGCCGGCCGCTCCCTGCAATTTGTCACCTAGCTCGGCATTTTCTTGCTGGTTCTCTGCAAACCATGAGAAATGCAATGACCCCAAGAAATTTACAACACAAAGCCTGGCGGTTTCCGTGGGGAACGCCTGGCTTCATTCAAACACGTTTCCCGGTCTCAGGTCGTTGCCTGCCTTCCGGGCAGCTGCGAGGCGATGCAGCGAGACTGTGGCGAGATGTCAAAGCGGAGGAAACGAGTTGGCATCTTTTCCTTTTCCCTTCTTGGGAGGAGCCCATTTTTTTTTGTGGGGGGGGGCCAGTGATATGACAGCAGAAAGGAGATTCCCACAGCGTGACTAAGGGGCACACCGCGAAGCCGAAGCCGAAGCCCATTTTGGAGCTTCCAATATGGAGACAAACCCACCAGAGCCGAGTCCCACCTTGGAGGGGCCGACATGGTTAAGAAAAACATCTGGTCATGTGCGAGGCTTGCGGTTTATTGGAAAGCGCGCATTCTTACCTTCAGTTTGGACACACCAATGGAAACCAACACATGATGTTGGCATAACCCCGACCTGATTGACTCTTTGGTGTTTATATCGCTTTTAGTTGACGAGCATGTTTGGAAAGGAGTTCTTTGGTTTGGTCAAGTCGATTAGTACCAGAATGATGTGCTTTGATTCTGCCTCACCCCGACTTCCAGGATCCGTATCCTGCCACAAGAGGGCCAAGTCTTCAAGTGGAGCGAGTTTCTTTTGGGTTAGCTTTGAAGTGTGAGTGGGGGTTGGACACGCCCCAGCCCCCTGGGGAGTGGCCATGGGCTCCTCCTCGGCAAGGCTAGGTGGTCTTCTACAACCCACTCCCTCACTTCCGATGGTTGGAAGGCAAAATGTGGGATCCCCTTGTGGGGTTTCCTGCTGTTTCCCTCACCGAGCCCTTTGGACATGTGGGCTTTCCTCCTTTGAAGGCTCAAAAAAGGATGGCCCACCACGGCACATGCCAATTTTGTCTCAAAAATGCCACTGCGCCTCTGCAAACGGATTCCCCCAATGCAAAAGGTGCGGCGCCAGGCCTCGGTCTCCCCGGAGGTCGTCTCAGTGGGCCTGGGCTCTGTTCGGGAGCCCGGGCTTCGCATCGAAACGCGGGCGAAGCGCGGGCGAAACGCGGGCGCCAAAGTCTTTAGGTCCCCCAGCTAGGTGCCCTCTCACCCTTTTTTTGGGGGAGGGTATTTTCAATCAGTCTTCTCCGATGCCAGATGGAGGGTTGCCGTTTCGGATTCATGGTCTGCCTTGTCGAGAACATGTTCCTCTCAAAGGGCCTTCTGGTTCCATGTTTGTGGGTGGCAGCCAAAAGAATTGACAAGGGCTGGTTCATGTGTTCCAAGAATGAACCCTGGATTGACGCCGCAAGGGAATTGACAATCTGCGGGCCCGCTTGGTCCAATGAAGCCCCGAAAAGCCTTCCTTCAGGCAACGGGGCACAATCCGGGCGTGGCCAGATCGGCATGCTGATCGGGCTGCTGCTGGCGGGCATGGTCTTTGGCCGGGGCCTGCGGGTCCTGGCTCGGGGTACACTCCAGAGACTCACTTTGGGAGGAACCCCCAAAGTTGAGCAAAAATTGGGGGTCATGAACATGGAACCCAAGGGGTCGTTGCAACGGGGCGCGTTCAACCAGGAGTCCAATCAACAATTCCGAAGTGAGGCGTGGGGGGTTTGCGGTTTGCTCACTTCGTGCCCACGAGGCCACAGCTTTCCTCTTGCTTTCCCTCGAAAAAAGACAGAAAACACAACTGAGGGCATGTTCCTTTCGGTTCTGGACGGAAAACAAAACCAAAGGGACCCCAAAAGGAACCCAAAAGGGAACCAAACGGAATCAAAAGGACACCAAAAGGACACCAAAAGGACACCAAAAGGACACCAAAAGGACTCCAAAAGGACACCAAAAGGACACCAAAAGGACACCAAAAGGACACGAAAAGAACGCCAAAAGAACATGAAAAGGACACCAAAAGCACACCAAAAGGAGAAAAGGACACCAAAAGGAAGCCAAGAGGACACCAACAGGAACCCAAAGTTTTTCCAAAAGGAAACCAAAAGGAATCCAAAAGGCAGCCAAAAGGCAACCAAAAAGAAAGCAAAAGGAACAAGAACAACAAAGCCAACGCATGTTTCTTTTGGTTTTCCTTCTTAGAAAGTGCATCTCGACCTTGGAGCTCAGGCCGCAACATCGCCGGCTTCCTCGACAGCCTCGACAGCATCGAGTCATAACGCATTTGCGCAAAAAGCCCTCGGCGCGCTCTGACCTCACGTCTTTCACTCCTTGCCCTGGAAAGGAGTGAGGCCGGGTTGAGGTATTTCCTTGTGATCACTAACAAATATCCTTTGAACGGTCGCCGAAAGAAAGGGAGTCTTGTAGAAGGTGAGAATGACAAGGGTTCGCACGATGGACACCCGAAACCCCGAAATGGGTTTCCCTCACCAACCCCAAAGGGTGCCCGCAACTGACATGCCAAGCTTGGTTGGAGGTGGCAGCAGCTTCCGATAGGCTAAGGAAACCTAGCCACTTGAAAAAAAGACCCGAAGCTTCCACATGTAATGCTGCGATGCTGCAAGGCTTGGTTTGATGAATGTTCCTGATGGTGTGCGGCCCGTGGAAGGGGGGATCGTAACCTTGGCTAGGGGTTTCGTCAGCAGTCGCACTATTTCGGCATATTTCGGTTCAAGTGTCCACCGAGGCAATCAGGCAACCAAAATGCCAAAATAGGCACAGGCCTGGGATTTTCGAAGGCATGCAAGTGGCGGGTTAAACAAGCCAGGCAACCCGTTGGTCGTTCCAAATGCCCAACCTGTATCTTTTGCCTGTTCAGTAAAACCAGCATGGGATACCGGTGTCAAACAACCCGAGCCCTTGGCCATTGGCCAGTTTGTCCACCGATGTTTTTCTCGTGCTGGCGCTTTTTGGCCCAAAAAATTGGGGACCAATTGAAACCTCTCGGATACTCGAAAGGTGAAGCAAAGTGGCGCCAAAAGGTCGCTGGAAGGGTTCCGCACCTTGAAAACGACGCACCTCGTGCGAGATAGCTGGAAGGGCTTCAAGATGGTTTGCGAGTTTGAGTGAAGGGGGTGCAACTTCGCTCCAAAGGCCGTGGCCTTCAACCTTCAACTTTTCCGGCTGTTTGGAACGTGGCGATTTCTTACGAAGCGACGAGCTTTGCTCCAGACTTTGCGGGAACAGAGTGCCCAGCTTTTTGCCGGCGTTTTTTTAGCTTGTTTTGGCGGGTTGCATCGGTTTTGGCCGACCTCGTTTCAATGGTGCAGCACGCGAAGAAGAACCCCAACAAGCTAGCGCCGCGGACGCAAGAGGTCGACCCCGAGGTTGGCTTCCGTTGCAAAATACGTTTCAACAGACCCAAGGGCCACCTTGGGAAAGGAAGGAAGCTGTTTAACCAATGGATTTTCAACATGTTTAGACAGCGCCTTACAAAGTGCATTTTTTTTAGTGACCTTACAAAGAAGAGGGCTTACTCGGCCTTGTGGTTTTTCAGTTTGTTTTGGGATCTTTGGGTGTGCGACGCTCAACCTTCTTTGTGGTTTCAGCCGTGCTTTGATTTCTTGGTAGTGTGTTGTAATCGGCCTGCTTTGTGGTTTCGCTTTGAATGTTTGGTGGCCTGCGCTGCTGCACCTTGTTTGTATTTCCTAGAAGCTTGACAGCTCCTGACATGGAGCATAATCATTATGTATCGTCTTCCGCACATGTTTCATGGGCCTAACACATATGACAGGAAGTGCACCTTTCATGGCAAGACGGGCGGAAGCTCTTTGCCCCAAGATTGAGGAACGGGTTCTGGCCCCTTCCCTGCCTGTGCCTTTTTGTTGTCCAGATGGACTTTCCCCGCTGGTGCTCTTTCGGTATAGTTTCGTACAAGGGGTGGAGCCGAAGCATTCAAACTGAGAGGCAAGGTGTTTCCTGGCAAAGGCCCAGGCCTTTCAGGAAGCCCAGACCGCTGTTGTCTGGGGGTACGCATGCGGAAGCCAGCGAAATGCATAAAAGCCATGCCGGCTTTGTCTGGGACGTGAGGATGACTCCGGGGTCTTCATGTCCGGCAACTCCATCAGCAAGTTCCCGGCCGACGCCTCCCAGAACCTCTTCTTCACCGTGCCGCGTCCGAAGCGGTTCCCGGTTCCCGGTTCCCGGTTCGGGGTCTAGAAGATCCCCACTTCACCCTGGAAGAGTTTCCATTTGCCCAATTCCGGACGTCCGAAATATTCGCGGCGACTCAGCCGGAAAGCCAAACCTCGATTCACGCGCGCCGCGATGGTTTCATCTTCTTTGACCAAAGATGGTTGCCTTTTTGCCGGGTGGGAATACGCCCGGATTTGCTGTAGCATGTGGGCATATGTGGTTCCTGTCAAGCTCTGTGCCGCCGGGGGGGTGGGAGAGCGTGAACAAAAACCCTTCTGTGTGCACGGGCTGAAAAAAACATTTGCCTGCTGTCCAGGGGCCCCTAACTCGGAGTTTTCCTAAGGCGGGACTGGTCTTTTTCGGGTTTCCTTGGCGGAAAGGCCTGAAATCCGAGGCCACCAGCTTCGACTTCGGGGCGCTGGCACCTGGCGAGGCGGAGGGATACTTGGCTCTCCGCGACTCGGGGGATCCGCCGCGACGGAGGGGCCCCGCGAATCGGTTTCGTTTCAACGGGCATTGGACATCGCTTCTTGGGGCTCCGTGTGGAAAATCGTCGGAAAGCAATTTGCTTGTTTCATATGACTTTTTTTTTGTGAGTACCCAAAGGAAACCATGCATTTGTGGACCTGGGTAAAAGTAGATATCGTTCCCAGTAAATGTGGGGAAGCCAAACCGTGGGAGAATTGCAGCTGTACCTGTGGAAAACACAATCATTAGCATTTTTCACCCCACAGCTGAAAGAGGGAAGGTTCCCTTCAAGGGTTCCGGGAGGTTCTGTAGCTGGAATGGTTCCGGGTTGTGGCATAGGATGTTGAGAGTTTTGCGGTTTGGAGATGTGCTGGTTGGGGTTCCGGGTGAGCGGCTCCCTCTTTTTCGGGAATCCAAGGTGGCATGGGGCCACTCCGGGCGAGGTTTCTGGAAGGGTTCCAGAGGTTGCAGTTGGAGAAAAGAATCAACATACTCCTCAGCTTATTTTTCCTTGCCTTTTTTTCCACGTGCCTCGTTCGCCAGAGGTGCCACACGACTCGCTTGCAAAGGGTATATGTGGACTCCTGAGGAGTCTAGGCCCCAAACCCTCTTCGCTTTGGAAGGCCGGGGTTGGAGTCGCGCGACGGAGTCGCCGCGATCTTTGCCCCTTCAGCCTTGTTCTACTGGAAGAGGGGCGAGTCTGGTCTTCCAAACCCTTCCGATTTTCAGGATTGGACAGAGGTTCCGGTTTGTGACATTTTTCTTGGGGCTTCAACGACCTGGATATCAGATGTCTGCCACAAGCAGGGAAGTGTGTCCTGCTCCTCGACAATCCCCCAATAAGATCTCCTGCTTCTACAAGATCAGTGCACACAATGCACCTTTGGCGCTTTTGCGCTGCTTGGCTTCTTGGCAGAAGCAGGTCTGGTCATCACGACAGCTAGATGTTTTCGTCCCAATGCTGCGCTTGTGCCAATGATGCAACTTGGGTGCCTCACACAGTGGGAAGTCACTCCACTCGACACGTGGTGCGGTGGCCGGTGGCCGGCGAGGGTGAGCTGAGGAAAGGGCGAGAACTTTCTGCAGCTTCACGAGATCGGGCGGAGGCGAAGGGTTGGCCTGGGCTGGGAGGAGATATGGCTAAAAGATGGGTCGGGGGGGGGAGTGGCGGGGTTTCGCCGGCTCTACTGCTGCTGCTGCTGCTGCTGCTACTACTTCAGGGTTTTACTTGTCCATTTATGTCCACCTCTTAGTTCTATTATTGCAGGCTAGACATTGTATTTATCCATGTTACTATTACTTCATGACATAAATGCTTTTATCACTCTCGGTCCCTTTGCTTTCCCTATTTTCTGCCACTTCTGGTTGAGGGTCACTCCTTTCTATTCTTGGGATTAAACGAAAGGGAAGGACCAAGAGAGAAAGGAGAGAGGGGAAGGGACGACCGAGTGAGCGGCATGAACAGTCCTTGTCCTTAGGTTCTCCCGCCTGCTGGCACAAGAGGGCGCGGCGGCGCATTCTTCATCTTCCCTGCCACGGGGGCGCCAGGGGATGATGCCTTCGTTTGAAGAAGTGAAAAGCATGTTTCAGCAGGTGATCGGCCCCTGGCGGCCCCTGGCTGCCCTTGGGCTTCCCTTTGCACCTTACAAAGAGACCCTTGGCTTCTCAGCCCCCATCAAGCCTTGCCCTTTTACTTCCCAAAGCTCGCGGGTTTGCGTGTTTCAGTCCTGTCGATTGCTCCAAGAATTTCCCCCAAGATCCTCCCCGCAGGGACTGCAAGCTGGTGAAGCCCCCGGAGATCCCGCTGCTCACCCGGAGCCAAACCTACTCCGTGAGCTTCGGGCCCAAGAAGCCCACTGACTGGGAACTGAACCAATTCGTCCTGCAGACGCCCCTCAGCGGGTGGCGGATTTTGGGGCCTGGCTTGTCTTAAGAAGATCAAAGGAGGTGTGGTCTTACAATGGGTCTGTCCTTCTGTTGGGAGGGTGCCCTTTCTTGGTTGGTTTACAGGGAAGCCACAAGGAAAAGCACCATTTTGGGGGTGCCCAAAAAAGACGCACCCAAATATCTGGATTTGTCTACAGTCGATTTGGGAGGGACATGGGTGTTTTTCAGCCTTCTGAGACGCAGTCCCACTTCTTGGAGAATTTCTTGGACACGCCGGAAAAGTGACAATGAATTCTGTTGGTATCCCGAACTTGTCTCGGCGATTGGTTCGGATTTGGGCAGTTGGCCCACCAGAGGACAGTTTGCAAGCTTGGGGGCTTGTGGTGAGCCAGTGTTGTTTGTGTCAAGGGTTATTACAGAGCAAACCTGACCCAGACAACAGTAGCTTGCAGCTTCCTCAGGGGCACCAAGGCCCAGGGTCCGAGCGATCGCGCAATGAACCTTTGCAAACCAGTTCTTCCTTGTTTTGCTGCTACATGACGCTGTCGAGCCAAGGAAGCAGGCGAGCAGCCAGGAGGTGCCGGGACCGTCCTATGCTACTCGCTCCAGCTACCAGGCCCGCGGAAGTGTGGGGGTTGGTGTCGGCTGAGGAGCTGGTGGTGGCTCAAATCTGCGCAAATTTTTTTTCCTTTCACCATACCAATTGGTGGCCATCACCATACCAATTGGTGCGTGGGGAGGGGCCCGGCTTCCACAGAAAGTCGGGGCGCTTCAGCCCGGTTGCAAATGGGGGACGGCCAACTGAGCAATCAACACCTGGCGAGGCCAATGGCTCCGGCTTCCGGGCATTTGTCAAAATTCAGCTGAGATTCTGGCTTTCCTTCGGCGTCCTCAAAAAGGGTATCCTCCCAAAAGAGCTCAAGATTTCAATATTTCTTTGCCTGGTCGCAGCGTCCACATTCCATTTCCCCAAAACTACGCAAACAAGAAAAGAAAAGAAGAACAACGGAAAGAAACGCTTTCAGAAGTGCACGTCTTCTTGGCGCCGCGTTGGGTTTTCCCTCTTGACTCGACTTCAGGACTTGGCCAAGACCCGCACGGCCTCAGAGATGCTCCGCGCGCAGCCCCCGCTCCTGGCGCGCGCCTTGGGCACAATCAGAGCTGGTTGGGCCGCTGGGGAGCTGGGGGGTGGGTGGGTGGGTGGGTGGGTGGTGTGGGTTGGGGCAGAAAGACATTTCTGTGGGTTCTTGGCTCTAATCCCATTGAAGTGTTTGAGGGGTATCCACATTAGGCTCCTCATAAGGAAGCCTTTCGGAGCTATCGATCGGTGGTGGTTGGAAGGGAGCCGTTGAGCTGGCCTCCACAATTGCCCTTGAGTGAGCCTTTCGGAGCTAGCGAAAGGTTGGTGGAAAGCAGCAGAGGAACGCTGGCAACAGCAAGGAATCCGAAAGGAATGTGAAAGGACACCGAAAGGAAGCTGAAAGGCGATCGAAAGGGAACCAACGGGAAGTGCGGAGGAAGCCCAAGAGACAAAGGATGCCAAAGGAAGCGAAAAAGGAAAGCATGACGCCACAATGGCACTTGTGTTGGAAGGATTTCAAAGGAGACGAAACAGAAACAAACAGGCGTTTCGGAAGGCGATGACCCCTGGTTTGTCGATTTGGTTTGGGTTGGCGGGTCGGTTATGATTTTCACATGGGGTGCCCTCACCGGGCTTGTTTTGTTGGAAGCAGGGAGGACCGCAGTCTTGCATTCGTTGTGTTAGATTGGCTCGGCCAGGTTGATGTGTATTGGAGGTCGTTCCGTCTCGTTGGTTGGTTTCGCAGGTTTTGTTGGGAAACTTTTATCATTGCCACATTTTGACTCACGTGGTTGGTTTTAAAGGGGCGCGCAGGAAAAGAGCTGGTAATGATAAAAACATTTCCCAACAAAACCTGAGAAACCAACCAACCAAATGTCCAATCTGAAGTTTGTTGTGTTGTTTCGCTGGTTTCAACTGGCACAGATCAGCCGGCTGGTGCCAGCCGACTTGCACAGACTCGGCTGTTGAGTTGTGCCCACAGGTTCACTCCTTTGGATTCCTTGCCAGGGGATGATTTGGACTGCAGCACCAGGTTTTGATTGTGAGTCAGACTTCGCAGTGCCATTGCTGGTTTCAAGAACTGAAGAACTGATCTCGTTTTGTAACAAGAAACCCGGAAGGCCGCCACCGCTGCAACGAACATAGCAACACAATTTCACCAATTCCCACCACAAACCAATTGGTTCCGCTGGCCCACCGCTGCCGGGTTGCTTGTGAGGCCTGTTTCCCTGTCTGTTTTCATTGGATCGACACCCCCGGCCTTGTCCATGAGGTGACATGCACCGGGTGCAAAGCCAGCCCTCGCTGGTTCGGCGCTCCTTGACCCAGGACATGCACCGCGAGCATCGGGGTGTGAAGGCTGGGGACTCGTTTCATGCCATCTCGCATGGCGCTGGTGCTGATGCAGATCTGGTGCTTGGGCTGGTGCTGATGCTGGTGCTGATGATGGTGCTGACGCTGGTGCTGTGGTGCTGTGGTGCTGGTGGCGGTGGTGCTGTGGCGGTGCTGTGGCGGAGCTGTTGGTGATGCTGGTGATGGTGATGCTGGTCCTGGTGCTGGTATTGATGCTGGTGATGCTAGTGATGCTGATTATGCTAGTTGTGTGTTGGTGGTGCAGGTGGTAATGCTGGTGGTGATGCTGGTGATGCTGGTGATGCTTAGGATGCTTGTAATGCTGGTGATGCTGGGGATGCTGGTGATGCTGATGATATGCTGCTGCTGCTGATACTGATTTTATTGTTTGTCACGCCACAATTTGGTAAAGATGTGTGGTCCCAAAGAAGACACTTCAAATTGGGGACCATCCAGGTTTGTCGCTTTCAACGTGTCCGAAAGAGGGTCCTGCATGTTGAGATAGACCCATTCGTCGATCCGCCCATGATGACCCCAACCGGTCCAGCTCTGCATCCGTCCTACCAATGAGATTGGGAGGGTCTTTGTGTTTTCCACGTGCTCCATCAAGGCTAGGTGGCTGGGGGGCAGCATCCACATTTGTCATCTTCCGGCGGACTGTTGTGACAGCCAGTAGCTTCAAGAGATCCCGTTGCCCATAAAGGGAAGCTGTCGATCCATTTTGGGCCGAGTTTTTCAACCCCATGATCCATTTTGACATTTACCTTTTCATCCAGCAGAAAGGGACACCTTTTTTTTCCCGAACCTGGAAGGGGGAGGGGGTTTGCTCCGGCTGAGCGGCGAGGCGCGGGGTGACCGCTTCCTTCCGGTGCACGAGCTGGATGTGGGGCTGGGCTCCTATGACTTTTTGTGACCTCGGGGTGTGGGGGTTGGTTGGGTGTGGGTTGCGTGTCTGGTGGTTGGGTTGGGAGTCTGGTGTCTGTTGGGGCTGGGTGTGGGAGTTGGGTGTTTGGTGTCTGTTGGGGCTGGGTGTGGGAGTTGGGTGTCTGGTGTTGGGTGTCTTGGGTTGGAGGTACTCCACCTATGGCTCAGAGCACCGGAGCTTCGGCGCCCGGCCGCACAAGGGTCACTCGGTCCACTGGAGGCGACGGAGGGGGGTGGGCAGCTGAAAGCTTTCTTCTGCCCGAGGCGGGGGGCGTTTGGGTTCCGAAAAAGTTCCAGGCTTGCTGTTTGGGATGTCACCCGGGCTTCTCGGTGTTTGCTTTTTTCTCTGTGTGTGGTTGTTCTTTGGGACCTGTTGGTTTTGAAACGGAAATTGACATTTTGGTGGGTGGCAAGCGGAAGCCAAGTGGAAGGCAGTGTTGTTTGTGGGCTGTAGGTCACTACTTCACAACGCTGCGGGTGGAAACGAGTGCTGAAACTGGGAGCACTTTGGGGGATGGCCCGCCGCTTGAATGCGAGCCGTTGCTTGGTTGCTTGGACGCGCTGGATCAAAGCTGATTCCGATTCCCTGAATTTGACGCACCCTGAAAGGGAGATCCCCAAATTGGGTCCCCCTGAAAAGGAAGACATTCCTTCGCGCGTGGTGTGTTTGGGTTCCACGTTGGCACAAAGACGGGGCGACAGGAAGCAACGGGGCCCGCAGCTGGTGGATGACTTTTTCCAGGAGGGTGTCTCGGCGGTTTTTGTGGAGGCGGAGCACAGCCACTTGTGGCTTGGGTTTAGGGGTTTGGACTTTGGAGGGCAATTTCACTTCTCTTCGGACATTGGTCCGAGTTTGGAGCCACTGCGCTCAAGCGCAGGGGCTGTTGTGAATGCTCGGATTCCCGGGCCCGGCATCCTGTCAGAGTGGCGTCAACTTACCTGAGTCATCAGCTGAGTGAAGACAGGTCAGTCAAAGATAAAGACACCAGCCCTAGATCGACGAGTAGCCTTTAGACTCAAAGCCAATCGGCCGAGGCATAGGCCAGTAAGTCAGGGTGCGGTGGTTCCTTCCCACCGTTGACATGGAATCACCATTGGCTTGGAGGGATGAACAGAGATGGGCCATGCATCTTTTGGCAGGCCACCTTTGGTTTTGGCAGCCCAAGTCCTGTTGAAAATACCCAAGTGAGCCTGAAAGTGACCGTTGTCAGCCTTTGTCGGCACTGCAGCTTTTTGTGCAGCAGTTCCCAACACAACAAAATAGCACAGGGCAAAACTCTTCCGGGGCAAATGTAGCAATTTGTGTTGGTTGCAGGAAAAACGTAAGACGACTCTGCCGGGTCGCAAGAAAAATCACACGGCGCGCCTCGAATTGTTGGGGTCCAGGGTTGTGGAATCACAGGGTTTATCCCCACTTCTATGATACAACAAGAATTTCCCCCCCCTTGCCAGGAGGATAGTCTTTGGACAACCCTTTTTGTTGTATCATAGAAGTGTATCATAGTCTTTGGACAACCCTTTAGGCACATTTCCGGATAAAACCCTGTTTTTTTTGCCTCATGGGTCATTTCCCTTGGGAAATCCCTTTTGTGCAATACAAACACCCTTAGAAAAAAGGGCACGGCGCGCTTTGATTTTGTTGGGGTCGAAGTGTCGCTTCGATTTTGTTGGGGTCGAAGTGTTGCAGGATTTTCGTCGAGAGCGGCGTGGCGCGGGTGCTGAGCGGGAGCCGCTGCCGCCCGTGAGCCTCGTGGGCTCGGGCAAGGCCGCTGGCACGCAGTCGGAGGTGGGTGGGGGGGAGGAGAGGTGGGACGGGGTTCTATGGTTTTTAGCTCTTTTGATATTTTGCCATGATTGTTGATATGATTTTGACTTGTGATTCGTTGGCGTACTTGTTTCTGTTTACGTGCTTAGCTGTTTCTGTCGTTCATCGCCTTCACCTTTTCTGCATCCAAGTCTGTGTTTGAAATCCTCTTGGCTTGTGGTGAGCACAGATTTCTTCAGAGGTCTAAGGTGTTTGTAATGGGCGGGTTGGATTCGGACTCTGGCAGCGCCGTTTTTAACAGGTCTCGGGTCACAGGGTGCAGTCCCTCCTAAACCCCACATGGGGTGGACAACATGAACCACCAGAACCAGGAAGAAACAGGGAAAGAAGGTGATTGCTTTTTTTCTTTTGGTGTGTTTGAGAGCCTTCTCGCGTTTCCACCGACAGTTGGCTTGATCTGATGTTAGGGGACTTTCAGGGCGAAGCAGCGATTATCCCTTCGGCTAGGCGTGCCTGAAAAAACACACACGAACACACACCTGCATCACGGGTGCCAGGGCACACGGTTGGAAGGCGCCAAATGCATTAGCCTGCTGCTGTACTTGGCATCTTCTATCTGGCATGGAAAGCATCTATCTGGCAGACAGGTGTTCCTCAAGTCTAAGGACTTGATGAAGGACTTGCGAGAGAAGCCCTTCTCCGGATGAAACGATGAGACTGGTGTGGAAGTTTTTCCCGCACGCAGCTGGGGCGGAAGGCTCGCCGCCGAGCGCAGCCCTGTCCGCCTGAATTATAAGCTGTGCCGCGTAGAGAGCAGCCAAGCGTGACCACATGTTCTTGGAGAGTTCGTGAGTCCGAGGGACGTTTGGCACAAACATTTGCAGGTGCACTTCTTAGTCATTTGCTTTTCGAGCATAGTCGAGGCCAGTCAGGCATTGCCAGAGGTCAGGCTGGTGCTGCTGCGAGATCTTTTGCTTACGACGGAACACCTAGCCGATCCTTAAGGGACTGGACAGTTTTGTGTTAGATTCGGAGTCCTGCTCCGCCTCACGGGCTGGGTCTGCATGGGTCAGGGGTCACTTTTCGTTTTGTTCCCTGGAAACATAGGCTCATGTCTGCATAGCTGTTCCTTTTTTGCTCAAGCTTGCTTTGCTTTTGGCATGGACTTAGTGGCCCAAGAGTTGTCTATCAGTCTATCAGCCTTGTTTAGGCTTCTCGCAGGGGTCCTTTGAGCCCTTTTGTCGCAAGAAGCGCCTGCGGTCCAGTTTGGCCCTCGAATCCAGCTCCTTTTGCTCACGTCCCCGGTGACTTCATTAGTTCCTTGTGAAGATCAACTCGGGAAGTACAAAGTACACACACACACACTCACACCTGGGCCCACGGGTGTTCAAAGTCCGATGGAGACCAAGCAAAGTTTGTTAGGGGGAAGGCCGATGTTCTTGAAAAAGTTGGATCCTACAACTCTCCGTACGATTTCCTTGCGCCAATCACCAATTCGAGTAAAAGGTTTTGTTTTCCGCACTCAAAAATGAAGCTTTTCTCCCGAGTTTTGCAGCCTCCTAGAAGCTCAAAACAGCCCAATGCGATGGCCTCCAAATGGCCCCAGAGCTCCCTTCGCATTTCACGACCAGCCGCGGGAGCTTGGACCGAGCCGGCTCCATCCGGTGACGAAGTCAGGCCGGATGGAGCTCACGTAGCGAAGAAGCCGAAAAGACTATGCACTCAAAAAAACCCGCGATTTGTGAGACGACACTGGGGTGCAAGGGAAGACCCAAAAGGGGGGCTCCCCTTTCTTGTTTTTTTTGGCAAATCCCGCTTGTTGCTTGACCAAATCCCGAGTGAAGGGATGCCACATACGTAGCGATTAATCTTTCGCGACTGGGGAAATCACACATGGGCCGAAGACCCTATCTTTTTCAAGCAATTGGGCTGGAAAATCAGGTCGGCCCTCCACCCAAACTTGGGAGTGGCTCCTTTCTGCCAGGGTTCTAGCCCAACATCTCAGGGCACCTGGGGCCCCTTTTCAGATCCTTAGAATGAAGCGCTCTTTCCTTCTCGGGGAAAGATTCAACCTGCATTTGGGCTAGGGCCTCACGTTGAGATGCGCTTTGCTCAAGCTTGGTGCTTCACAAGGAACAGACAACTCCTGCACTTCTCTCATCCCACTTCCATTCCCAAAGCTAGAAACCCGCATGTGACCCAAGTTTCTTTCCATTTTGACACCATGGGTCGAGTTTTTGACTAATATGCTGCGGTTGTGAACGGCTTGTGGTTCACAAGAGCAGCATGCTGGGCCCTTCGTGACCCTGGCAACCATCTGTACTTGAGGTCGTAAGCTCACATGTGATGGGCTCACGGCTCACACAAATCTCATGCGAGGCGGCTTTGGCCCTCAGTGCTTTTGGTTGCTGATTGGGTTGCACTTGTTGTTATCCACTGTTGGCTGAAATTTGTTGCTCGAGCGTTAGCTGACCATGCTTGCAGTTGTAGATGCAACATCACTGCCGTCTGCAGGCTGATTAACTGAGCCAGTGGAACGTGATACAGTGGGTTGTTTTTGTCATCGCTTGTTCACTTGTCTCTTTACGATTTGCCATGGCATTTCTTAGAGAGGGCCAATCTCAATTAGTACTAGGTTGGGCTTTCTTTGGCGCCTGGGTTACCTACCCAGGCGCGCTTGGTTAATCCCTGGAAGAGAAACTGCAGGCGGCCTGGAGTGAGCAAGTTTGGTGGGGCGTTCACAATTCACCGGCCACCCGGACAGGTACTTCTGGCATTCTGCGGCTCAAAGCTTGATGACCCTGGCTTTTTTTTTTTAAATATATATATATATATAAAAATTAAAGCAAAGGAATCTCGCTTCAATGTGACAAGGTAGCCACAAGTTTAAGGATGGCAATCTCACCAAAGGTCTCACAGAGAGGCGTTGCAGATTTCCACATGGGTCGTCACCTGTGATCAGCCGAGGTGCCTTTGATTCCTGCCAACCTCCGCTGTCTCTGGCTCCCTCCGTCTGCATGGTCAGGGTTTGAAACGGAAGGGTGGAGGGTATGCAGCCAAACAGCAGCCGATGCATGGTGTTTTGGGTTTCGGAGATTGGCCTGCACATGCTTGAGGCCAGGGTTCTTTTGGGAATGAAGGGCCGACGCACGAGAAACCCAATCATGTTGCACCGAAGTTTTGTACATCAGTACTTTAATTGAGTATACAGCATATTTTGTTGTGGTTTGGACATCTTGCAACTGGCCTGCTACTTCTGCGGGGTGCTTTTCTCAGAATATTGCTTCGCCATTGGCGCTAGCCGATATCTGCAGCGTCATGTTGCAAAAGACAATGCGAGGCGAGGCGAGGGTTGGGGGCGGGAACAGCGGCAGTTTATGTCCGTTTATGACGGGGGCAATGTGGGAACGCTCACCTCATCAAGCACAAGATGACCTTTGGAGAAGGCACCTTTGCGTCCTTGGCACATTCCGCAGATTCAAATCGCATGGAACCCGCCACGGGATCTCCCAAAAATGGGATCCGACCCCTTTCTTGGCTCTGCCTTTACATGTCTGCGCAGCTGGATTGGAAGCCGCAAAGAAGGAGATACATACAGGGCGTGTCATACATCGGGGTTCTCTTTGGGGTCGGTTTCGCGTTGGCTCCTTTTCTCTCTCTCTCTCTCTATCTCTTTTTCAGCCGGTACTTCTCCACGTGGTTCCCGCGTTTTGGCACGATACGGCTTCGCGCGGGTATTCAGACCGTTGCCGCAGATCTTCCGGCCGGCTTAGGCTTGCAACATCCTCCGGTCAGGGGTACGGTAACGGCGCTGGTGCAGTGAGGATCCCTTTCTGAAGGGTTGATTATCTTGCAGCATCATCCTGCCCCGAATTGAAAAGAAGGGAATCTCTGGAACTTAAGATGGATCTTGGCTGATGTGCTTGCAATAGCTCAGCTTCAGCGTATGGATGCCAAGACTTCAAGAAGCACCCGCACTCTCACCCAGGCAGTTGCTGTTACCAAGCCATCGCTTTGTCGGATTGCCCGTGGCTCTGTTCGGCGCTGCTTTCGTATCATTCCAGGGGTTATTCTATCAATGGACCAACAGAAGAACGGGGGCATTATGTATGTGCGCGTTTTCTCAGAAGAGAACATTTAAGGGGATCACTTTGCGTCTGGAAACGGACCATCAACCGAAGGATTAGAGGAACGCGACTGGCGTGTTTTTCCTGCCACCTTCGGGCATCTTGTAGAAATCCAGTACACCTCAAAATGGGTTTCCTTCAAACCAAGCCCGAGAACGGTTCCCTCCAAACCGACGACTCAAATGGCTCTAAAGGGACGTCTGTTGGGTGTGACCCCGCAGGGCGGCACCTTCGCTTTCTGCCCGCGGTGGCTCGCCTCAGCCTGCAAGGGATGGATGTGCGTGGCTCACGTCTTGGTTTTGGGGGATCTCTTCTGGGTTGGAAGGGAGGTTTCATTGGCACCTCGTTGGGCAACCGACCCATTCTGGGAGTGCCAAGCCATTTTGAGCCAAGGCCATTCTTTGCGGGCAATTTTGGCACGTTGGCAACTTGCTCCGATTGGTTTCTCGCTGCCTCAACTTGTGCATCATTGTAGTTATCTTTGGTCAGATCATGTTGTTTGAGCGCAAAGGAGCTTGCAATTTCCGCGCGTGATCGAGGTTTCCGCACATGTTAGTCGGACTCTGGATTTGTCATCTTTTTCATGGCCAGCACAGGTGCTACCTGGCAGGGGAAGGTCGTTTGGTGAAGTTAGGGTTGGAGGTGTGTATAAGGCAACTTCACCCCCAAAAGCGAACGAATTCTGTGGGACAGCCCTCACCTGAGGGTCTTGTCATCTTAACTTCGCGGCTGGATTCTGCAAGCGCTCGGGTAGCTGCCTGGTCCAAATAACCTTCGGGTGATTGCACAACGGAGCATCGGAACCATCCTGTTGAAATGATCAAACCAGGTAGCGCACGGAAACGGTGGTAGATAAAGAGACTCCTTTGTTTACTCCAACTCTTTGCGTGGGAAAGAATGCATCCAAACAAAACGCATAAACAGAGAAACCAACACACTGAAAGAACATGTCGTCGTCGTCATAAACAGAGAAACCATAAACAGCAGCAAACAATGTCGTCGTCATCCTCCTCATCCTCATCCTGTTCCTCACCCTCATCGTTATCGACGTCCTCGTCTGCGTCCTCGTCCTCGTCCTCGTGCTCGTCCTCGTCCTCGTCCTCGCCCTCGTCCTCGTCCTTGTGCTCGTCCTCGTCCTCTCCTCATCCTCCTACTCGCCCTCGTCCTCGCCCTCCTTGTCCTCGTCCTCGTCCTTGTCCTCGTCTTCGCTCGTCCTTGTCCTCGTCCTCCTCCTCGTCCTCCTCCTCGTCCTCGTCCTCGTCCTCCTCCTCGTCCTCCTCCTCGCCCTGGTCCTCGTCCTTGTCCTCGTCGTCGTTCTTGTCCTCGTCCTCGTTCTTCCTCCTCCTCGTCCTCCTCCTCGTCCTTCTCCTCGCCCTCGTCCTCGTCCTTGTCCTCGTCGTCGTTCTTGTCCTCGTCCTCGTTCTTCCCCCTCCTCGTCCTCGTCCTCGTCCTCATCCTCCTACTCGCCCTCGTCCTCGCCCTCCTTGTCCTCGTCCTCGTCCTTGTCCTCGTCCTCGTCCTCGTCCTCCCTCCTTCGTCCTCATCAGCAGCAGCGGCAAAGGACAGAAGACACAGAAGCAGAAGCATCCCACCGCTGAACCGCTTCCCGCCCGATGTTTCCAGGTGGTTGCCTTGGCCGGGTCCTTGGCCTTCGTCCAGGCGGAGTTGCCCTTTCGGTCTGAGGCGGGCGGGCTGGGGTGGGGGACCTTGCAAGCA